ACACAGGGAATATCACAAATATAAGTGGAAAATAAGTATGGGGATAGCACAGCTCCTTGAAGGACCCCGGAGTTGTTGACTAAGGGTTTCGATATGGCCCTCCACAATTTAGTGGTTTGTACCCTATCGGTAAAATTGTTGGATAGCCAAGCTAACAACTGCTTGGGGCATTCAAACGATTCCAGTTTTTGTAACAACTTAGATCAAGGAATGGAATCAAATGCAGAAGAGTAGTCGAGAAAAACACACCGAACAGATTTAACAGAGGTATTCAACGATTAAGCGATAAAATGAATGAGGGTGGATCCATTTGGCTTGTAAGCAAACTGTAACGGATCACTGGGAATGTTTATAGACTCTTTGCCAGTTATCACGAAGATTTCCATCGCATACGGATATTTTCNTATGGGATCCGATAAACTGGACACCGGCCCCCAATAAATCGCGGGTTTTGCACATCGCTCCGCTGTCTTGTGGGTCAGGCTTTGGCTAGCCAAAGGCTCCGGTTGTGAATTCCTCACGAAAATTCGGCTGAGCACACAGTCTATTCTCAGACGAAGGATATATATATATATGTATATAGTTCGGAATCGGTTCGGTCATGTTAAAATAATGTTGAATGATAAATTTATTTTAGATTTATTTGATTTCGGTGTTACTTTGGAAAACAGGAGTTCGCTTGCTCAACTCAATTCAGAGGCAACTGTGCTCACGCATACAGCCACGTTGATAAATAGCTCTTGCCGCATCCTAGAATTCCTGTTCAGATCGGTGATGCTTGCGGCACCAATCCGATGCGGTTGATGGTTGCACGTTCCATTTTTTGACTTATGAATTTCCGTTGACTTGAATACTCAGAATCACCCGTTACCGCTATGTCCGTAAAAAGAACGTTGTTTCTCAGACTTCACAAAAGGACAGACTGGCTTGCCTTCTATATCTGACAATGTTGGAATTATTCATTTTTTTTAGTAATAGATCTTCAATTGAAAAGAATCCAGTCAGAGGATGCGACAAAAAGAGAGAAAAATGACAGCATGTCATTGGGATTCAAACTTCAAGCGGTAGTAGCGCTGAAGATCTACCACAACACCGTGAACGCGTATGATAAATGCCCATTGGAAAATGGAAGAGATTCCGTTTTCTTTTCTCACAAAATGCTATCGCCATATTTGGATAAAACAGAATATGCACTCACTGCTTGTACTCCTTAGGAATTTTACTCATACTTACTACATGTGACAAGAACATATCCAAGTTATGCATTCGGTTGAACAGTCTTCTGCGGACCCGAAACGAGGCGTGGTGGGTGACCACCTCATAAGCCTCTCGATTACTGACTGAACCGAAGTACATTGGATTCATCCTATGTCCAAAATCTGTCCACGGACGGCATGATTAAAACAACAAAGTTGTTTTATATCATTTCACGTGCGCTTGTAGTACTCGGCATATCGGTCACAACGAGGCGTCTGTCCAAGAGAATATCGAAAAGGAACAGCGAGAAACTTGAACAGCTCAATAGTGCAACATTTGATCAACAGTGGACACAGGATTGACCCAGAAACGGCACTTACAAGTTTCTTCACTGCACCTAAGAACCACACCAAAGTATTACGTAAGAAGATCCTGAAAACCGCAGAATCTATAGCAATGAGGATCATGAAACCGGAGTTGCGGAAGATACGTACTCTGATTCAAGCCCCGCTGTTACCATGGCTATAGTAACTATTGCCCATATCTCTGTGACACCTTCTATTCTCTCCCTCCCTACTCGTCATTTACTACCGTCTTTTTTCTCACACTTACCTATTTTATTCATTTTTTACTAAAACTTTTCGTATTGTGTCCAATTCACACATTTTTCATCCGGTTTTACCCCATTCAATTATCATGACCCCATAGCTTGTTATCGACCCAACATTTTGCACACAGTCATTCATTCAACATCAGCCTAGGTGTGTGTATTATTCTACCGACCCGCCGAGCTGTGAATGTAAATGCCTAACACGGTATATCGATAAGAAATTTCTTCTCGTTTCGACTTTGTTCTTATGCATCAATGGGACTATACATAGTTTACGATGATTATAGTAGTTGAATAAACACAGTTGATGGATCAAGATGAGATCATGTGAATGTGGTAACAATCCCGAACACTTTCACTAGATAAACCCTGACAGTTGTCATTAATCGTTGCCACATCTACTTTCAGTTTAGCCCTTTGGACAAAGTCATTAAGCCCGTGAATTCCGTGTAACTTCAAAAAAAGAGGTAAAAATCCTAATTTCTTTGAGGGATCGTTCAAGTTAATTAAAATTTCAATTTTGAACTCAATGATGTTAAAGCGGCATGGTAAGCTTATATTGATGGACATAAATCCATGAGCCTAGCGAATGCGGTGGACACGGATTGCAAAACCTACCTTTACGAGTTTTCTGCTACATCCATCCTCATTTAAAAGATAGAAAACAAAGAATGGCGCGATCAATTACATGGGTCTATTTGGTGTTTACATTAGTCGTATAGGCTACGGTAAACCGAGGGTTCCGGGTGAAGCAAACGAATCTGTTTCTCTGGCAAGTAGTCAAGCATGAGGATAGAACCTTCCCGAATGTTGTGCTGAGACATGAGATCCCGATCCGGTAAAGGTCCTTTCGGATGGAGCACAATTCTTTGACGGTTCACAGGAATTCCCATCCGCAAATTCAACGCGTCTTTCACATCACGAAGAGTGCCGTCCGGTGGCACATCTACAATACATTCTCGCCCATCATATGTTCTGATGATCACATGCATTGTCTGAACGTGGACACGAGGAGGTAATGCACTGAAAACAATGTATACGGCAAAGTGATAAATTTGTCTTATATACACACCGATGTTTCTCCTCATGAGAACGGATGTTTACATTGCACCGCTGCGAGCACTAACCTCGATGACTTGAAAGATTGACAGCCAGATAGGTGGGAGGGGAGAGGCAGAGCAGATGAACAGACAAGTAGAGAGCAACGGCACACAGAATCTGCGAAACCTTGCTGTGTATCTGCACAGCATGCATCCGAACTCAATGATATTAACAGTTGAACTCGGCTCACGTCTTTTGTTTTTCTTCCAATCTTCAATGGTTTGTTTATCAACCGATCTAGATAGAAAAGATACAGGTTATGAGATTACGGGAGAGCGTATCCACCGAAAAACGCACCTTATGTGTCAATGGAAGGAATGCAAGCATTTTAAGTGTTACACAGGTTGTGGTCATTGATTTCAATTCTGTAGGCTTCATAATCAATGGTTACGTCAGTTTATCCACACTTAGAGCTATTTTACAGTGAATAGAACGCTTGTTTTGTTTCACTATGGCACTTCAGGTGTGTTCACAAATTAGCAAATATTATTGATTGTGATTGATTTGAACTGACTATCCTTCGGACTTCATCCTCGCGCACAATCCTCACTTCATCGATATGCACTACTAATGAGCTATAATAAGAGCGAAACTCGTGTCTATTGATTCCGAGTGTCTGGTTGAATCCATGAACTGAGGATTGTGTGGAGGTGAAGTCCGAAGGATAGTCAGTCAAATCAATCAATATCACTTATCCCACACCGCTGCTCACAAGTAACTGAGTTAAATGCGAATTATTGATTGTGTATGTTAAAACTCGTGGTTTAGAAAAACGACGTGCCTCCTTCCCGAATACTATAGTGGTCAAGCAACCGAAGCAAACTGAGGTTTCCCAACCGAAAGCGTTCCACGAACTTGTTCATACAATCCCGCTTGAGAACGCAGAGGGGTGGAACTAGGTGAACACAGGATTCCTAGCCATCTCTGTTCATCATCACTCGCTTAGCACTCAGGAGTTAAGAGCAAATCCCTTTTTGGATAAATCCAACATAAATGACCGTGAAACACTCGAACCACCTTTCACTTTCTGTTATTACCGAATCAGTTCACTCCAGACAGAGAGAGAAGGAGCGCGCGAAAACGAATGGAGCTATTAAAAGAAGTTCACATCATGACTGAAAATCGAGTTGCGCTTTTTGTTCGCAACCACAGCTGATTGACAGATCGGGGTGGGAGTGGGGATTCACTGAGATTTGACCATCAAGGCGAAACTAAGCAGGAGTTTTCTCAAAACTATCTATTACAGTCAAAACAATCAACCGTTTGGCCAGTAAATACAAAACTAGCTGTAAGAAACTTTCCATTATTTCTAAGAACCCTCATATTGATCAATAAGAAAGTGTCAATTGAGGGGGTTGGATCTTATGTCCAGAAATACAACACTATTTCCCGAAAAAGTGAATGACAGAACAATCAACTCAATTTATTATCCGATTTGTGGGCGATGCAACGTGTAAATCGGTTCTGTCGGATGGCATGGCTGCGATACCAATTATAGTGTAACTCAATGCAAACGTGGTATTCCTCATTTTCCACGGATGCGTGAGCAGAATGAAACCAACTAATCTGTAACATTTTAACATCTTCCCGCCCTGTTTATACGGCGAACTGCCGGTCCAGTATAAGAACAAGGTGAATGCAATTGAACGCTCACTAGAATTTTGCTTCATGCAACCAGTTCCCCTTTCACACACCAAGAGAGCATGAAAAAGCATCACGATTACAGAACTGACTGACTATCATTAAAGACGACACCGTAACAAGCATCAAGTGGAAATTCGATTCAGCCAGGGTATGGGCTGGTTAACACAGTGGTAATGCACACACCTTCCACGTGATCGGTCTGGGGTTCAACTCCAGGACGGGACGGTGGATATGCACTACTGATGAGCTCTAATAAGGGTGATACTCGAGACTAGCGCTTCCGGTTGTGGTTGACTAGCTGAACTGAGGATTTTGTCAGAAGGTGAAAATCAAAGGATAGTCAGTTCGAATCAATCGATTATAGTATAAATTGAACCACACGGCTTCTCGGTAATCTCATCGACTCTGTACACATGTTTACGTGACGTTCACTCGCCCGTTAGATTACGGGTTTTGAGAAATGTGACAGTTCCACAACTGCTTTCTACTTCTAGGACCTTCAAGAATGGTAGCTGTCTAGTACCGTTCTCTGGGGTAGCTGTCATTCGAAGTTACAAACCTTACCTGTGTAAACAAATCTGATTCGGAGTCAGCCTTGCGCTGCCCCGTTGAATGTAACTGTCCTGTCCTTTCCTCCCCTTGAAGTCATTGTGCTTCCCAACCATGTGTCCAATCCTGTTCGGTCTTGTCAAGACATGTTGATTAACTTCTCCCCCCCGTTTGTGTTTACTTCTCCTCCCAAAGTCTCGCGCTTGAAACCAGACGTGGTCTGAATGTGTGTACACAGTAGTTGGATTCCGCACATCCTGTGATGCTTTTTCTTGCTCTCAAAAAATTTCTCACTGTTTCCTGAGATGTTGATTTTTCATGAATTTTGTGAATGCTAAACATTTCAGAATACTTCTTTATCGATTGTGGATCGTCCTCCTCCGCACAGCAGCAAAATTTAGTAATGGGACACAAACTTTCTCATGCATCTTGAAACACTGAATAAGAGGAAGAGATTTTTTTTATTCCTGCTGCGTCCAGGTGATCTGAAGGAATGTATCACGAGCGGCTAGCCAGTCTGTGGTGATCTACTGTGATATGAAAACTAACAACAATAGCAACTATGATTACTACTACTATTACTAATACTACTACCAGCATCACTACTACTACTACTACTACTACTACTACTACTACTACTACTACTACTACAGAGCGGATTGAATATTTAGAGTATTTCGCAGAGAATGGTGGAAAAAAGTATTGTCATATAAAATCCTGCACGATTCGGGAAGCATATAGGCAATCCGAGGCAAAAACCATGACAACGATTCACCGAATTTACTATTCATGAGACTAGAAAAGATACCTGTAAATTTGTCAAAGAAAAACAGAGCAAGGGTAAGCGTGCACTCTGTAGATCAATGTGGAGAAGCCTTTTTTACTGATTGGATAGCTGGGAAATTCCTGATCTGTCCAGATGTGCAAAAAATTAACTATGGCATTGAACAGCAGATCAGATCGTTCCAAGTGAACTAATGTATCAACCGGTTGAGATTTTTGGTTGAGAAGAACAATCAGTAAAACCAGAGGTTTTGTCAAACGAAAATCAGTGTTATCTCACAAAATACACTCTTCCCTCATTGCTAGGTGGCCAAATTGTTGTTTTACTCCGCTTAAATCCGTTACCTGCTATTATGTCGCACAGCACTATATCACAGGTGAACACCACAAGTTTAAAGAGCATAAGAAATAACACAGTAACACTAGTAGCACACGGGAACAGCGAACTAACACTAAGTCCGTGAGCGGATGATAGGTCTAGGAGCGAAAGCTACCTAGGCGAAACACAGGACGTACGGCCGGCTATCGACCTCTCGGGCCTCCCAACACCCGAGAGAGAAGACACGGCTTCAGCAGCACGGTATTTTAATGGCTTTGAGCACAAATCACGAGTGAATTTACAAGTTTTACTCTGATCCTTTTATGTGACTCGAAATGGCATCGATCAATCCACCAATCAAGTACACAGTGAGCAAAGTTCAATCGGTCATAAACCACGGATCAGAAGGAGGGACTAAGTGAATATGGCCGTACGACGCAATATTATTGATTAATCTGTGCTAGAATAGTATTGATCCGAGATGATCCTAATTTGGGTCAAATGTGTTGTGGATTTTTCGATTTTTTTTCAAAGAATTAGCAGAAATTCAGCGGGGCTTATCTTGGGACGAAGAGCAATGATAAAATCTGCGTGTACTATTGCGAACAGCCAGTACAAATTCACCAGAACAAAGTTCTTGCCCCGCAGAGAAAGCATTTTTGCTACCACGCGGCTTCGGCCAAGTAAAGTAGGACCACGTTGCACGTAAACCACTTCGGTGTGTTACATATCCAGAGGACAGATCGTCATGGCAACAGGTATTTTTGTTTTGAAATCCCATAATGTGACTTTTGACAAGAAAACCTGAACACCGGTGGAGACATAGACACGTCAAAGCTTTTGACTTTAATCGCTGTTTGATTGCATATAAGTTCGAGGCGTTTTTACGCAAAAGTTCACCAAAGTGTTATCAAAATATGTGAACTAACCAATCCTTCAGACTTCACCTTCATACACTTTCCTCAGCTCTTCCAGTCAAACATACACTTGGAAGCACTAGAATCGAATTTCGCTGTTATTGGAGCTCATCAGTAGTGCAGATTCACTGTCTCGTCTGTGGAGTGAAGTCTGAAGGATGATGAGTTCCGATCAATCAAAATCCAAACATTATCATGGATATGACTAAAAAGTAATTCATTGAATCAAATGAAACGAAACAGTGACCTCACCTGCAAAATATTATAGGTACCCACAAATGAAATGCTCTCTAAGCGCCCAAAGTTCAACAATAGTGGTATTTTATTTCAATTAACTCTTGGTTTAAGGACAGCGATCAATCAAAGGGCACCGGGATACTAACAGCTGGGAGATGGTGGTCTTGAATTTGACCATTTCCTCAAAAATATGATGTTCAAAGAGGCTGCTTTTCATTCTTCTGTGGTTCATCAGCAACACCTTACGCATATACTGGTCTCCGAAAGCCTCAGAACAGTCGGGGTGGCTGTTTCCGGTTGCGACTGGTGACCCGTCCCTTGCTCCTAAGCGATCAAACGTCTCAGACAGCTTCCGCTGAGGAAGCCTTACCCACTGCAGTCTCGTTGCTGACGTGTTTTCCCACTAAAGTGATAGGATGAAAAGCCAATATCCGGGGCTATA